TAATTTTAGGAAAAAAAGTTATTCTTCATAAAAAGTTCTGCATGATCCAAAACTTAAAATACAGTCATCACATATCAAAATTTTCAAGCCGTATACGAGGTATGTTAAAAAATATGAATTTTGCTCAAGAGTAAAGTACGTTTATTTTTGACAAAATCGAAAATTATTATTAAGAAAAGATGATTAGAATTGAAAATTACATTCAAATATGCAATTACACCGATCTATCTGAAAAAGAGATTTTCTTATTTTTTATAAACTTTTCTACACATTAATTGTAAATATCTAGAAACATTATAAATTACGTTAGCACAGATACGCTTTCCTTTTCTTGATGTTTGTGAAGAATTTAGCAATTTTTTTAATGAAAATTTTTGATTTTGTCAAAAATAAACGTACTTTACTCTTGAGCAAAATTCATATTTTTTGACAAACCTCGTATACGGCTTAAAAAATTTAATATCTGATGAATGTATTTTAAGTTTTGGATCATGCAGAACTTTTTACGAAGAATAACTTTTTTCCTAAAATTAATAATAAAAAAGTTTTCCATATGATTCCAACTTATAGGGAGACATACTGTATTTGCTATAGGTAAATTCTGACAGTTTCAGTAGTTTTATTTTTGTTATTTTTTAGTTTGATTTAATTATTTAAATCCACATTACAATTTAGACTAATATTTATAGTAAACTTATTTAAAAAAAAATCTACAGATTTAAAAGAAAAAGCATCTGGCAACACCGCATACAAGCCAACGTTCGTTTCTGACCGGAGGCGATTTGTTTTTTTTTTTTATTCTACTCACCTTTGATTGTGGTGTTAACACAGCATTTTCAAACTCGCTGGGCTTTTTTCTATACGATGGTTAAGGAATATACACAAATTTTATTTAAATACCTAATAAATTAAAAAAAGGATACTTTTCTTCGATTTCTTCATAATTGACTTTCGAGAAACTTTGTTCTTTGCTTTTATGAAAAACTTTTCGTTCCATTTTTTCCAAATGTTCGATTGTAGGGACGTCGCCGTTTAAGTTGGAGGCGGTAAATGCGTACCATTGGTCGCAGAAGTCTTCAGCTTCGATATTATACATTTTACAAAGTTCAAGACCTATAAAACAGTATTCAATGGTGATCGTTTTATAAATTTATTAAAGATTACTTACATTTATTTAGTATGTAATCGTCTAATTTATGATTCATTTCTTGGAAAGCTAAATCAATGTCTTCTTTCGTTGTCATATTTGCTTTTTGTTTTTAAAACTTTGAAAACCTCAAACAACACTCAACACTCTCCCATTAGCAAATAATGATTTTGGCGCGAAATGAAAATATGACATTGACAAGTGAAATCGATAAGTAATAAGTAGTGCCAACTGTTTATTGCCAACCCCTCATTCTAGTTTTTTGCTTTTTTAGTTTTTCGAATTAAAATAAGCGGTAACGAAAATTATTTGATTTCGAATCAACGACTCTACAGACGATGCTTTTTGTTCGCAAAAAATTACGCGACCCGCCTAATCTGTAAAGAAAGAAGGAGGAATGCTAAACAATCTTAGGGAGATTAAAGAATATGGCGGACAAGTGTTTCCGGATTCCATCAACGTACTGTCATTTTTTAATTAGAGGTATCCACATATTTGGATAGAGAAGGTATATCCATAGGAAATAAAAGAAAACACCAAAACCCTTAATTAACTTCAATTACAGCATCTTTCAATTGAAGTTACTTATAAATTGTATCTGACTATGGGTCCTATGATTGAACGTTTATGTTATCCATAACGTACATGTTAAGTCGAATTTTAACAGTAATGAAGCAAGTTTGTATGATGGAAAACTGTTAAATTAGAACATAACAGGCGGAAAATAACAGTAATGTGTTGGAAACCGTTTTTCATCATACGAACTTGCCTAATTACTGTTAAAACTGAGCCTAACATGTACGTTACGGATAACGTAAACGTTCAATCATAGGACCCAATATCTGACTAATGCACAACTAAAATGAAGGTTCCAATAAATTAACACAACTCATAGCAGTGCCAATGGAAAACGTGACCAATGCTGCGTTTGAGAATCCACATCGGATGCATCTGAGATGTAAAAAATCTTTGATCACGTGATTCACTATACGTAAATTGCTGCGTTTGAGAATCCACATCGGATGCATCTGAGATGTAGTAAATCTTTGATCACGTGATTCAGTATACGTAAATGTAATGGGACAGATGTGTCAGATGTGGATAAAAAAACGCTCGAGATGTAAAAAATGCATCCGATGTGGATTCTCAAACGCAGCATATGTAATGGGACAGATGTGTCCGATGTGGATAAAAAAACGCTCGAGATGTAAAAAATGCATCCGATGTGGATTCTCAAACGCAGCAGTAGAACGCTAAAATGTGACAATTTGGTGTCCTTTAGTTTAGTTTTGTGATGAGATAAAAACGAACTAATCGATTCTGTCTTCTGAGGGCTATGATTCTGTCTAATTTACTGATTCCGAACTAGTTCGTAAAATAATCAAAACAAAAACAAAACAAGTCCAGTCTAAAGACTAAACAAAAAAAAAAAGACTGGTAATTTTATGTAGGTACTTTTAATTTGTACAAATAATAGAAACACAAAGCACAAATGAGAAAAAGTTAGTAAGATGAAAAAATTTAAATGAATATTAAGTTCAGAATAGTTAAAAACTACAATTTTATGAATAATTAGCCTGCACATTTTCTAACATAACATCTACTTTACAATCAACATCAAAATGTCAGGACATTTTACAGAAGAAGGAGCTCCACCATCGTACGAGGAAGCTATTAATCCAAATGGTAATATTTTGTAATAATCTAGAAACCATATTTTATAGAATAACCCACTTTTCAAAATATGTCCTCTCTATTTTATGTTAACCTGCTTTCATACTACTATTTGCAATAAGATACAAACTATCCATTAACAATGAAGGGGTTTTTTAACTTTTAACCATATATACCTAAATCATTATAACTGTTTACCTTATGCTTCTTTTGAATTATTATCATTAGAACATTGTACATAGCAATTACACATTATTTACAATATGATTTTCACTAATGCTGGTAACAATTTATTGTTGCTCAAATTAATTCAGACTTTATAGTTCTGTCAAGACAGGTTGTACAAAAAAATCTGTTTAGTTAATAGGAGTTTAATTTTTAAAAGTGCAGTATATTTAATGTGCAAATATTATTTTTAAAACTATGTTCAACAATAAACGTCAGTTATTTTTAAAATAATTTAAAAAGTATATATGTTTTGATATAATCTTTACAGCACCACCACCATCATATGATTCATTATTTGGCAGAGTACGAGAAGCACAGAAATCAAGCAAAGGAGTCCTGGATTTTCTGAAAAATATTATCATAATTGTATTGGGCACATGTAAGTAATTTTATTTTCTTAAAATTATTACCGGTAGGTTGTTTTTTACAGAAACAAATTTGGTGTTTACTGAAATTCATTTTTGAAATTTGTAATATTTCTGAGTAGATAAAATTTACATTAATTACAAAAAATTTAATATTTTATTAATGTATTTTAAGTTATTTAAAATCTGCAAATATTACTTAGTAATAGTAAATTAACATGAGATTATGTTTTTCATTATTTCAACCAATATTTAAGAAATATACGAAATTTCATAATCTACTGGGTCCTTTTAATTTTTGAAATTTACCAAAGGAGGGGGTATGGATTTTTTGTCGATTTCAGTAATTTTTGGAGATTTTGTTTGTGGATCTGTTGCTAGGTCAAATCAACTAGTATAATTTTTACCTTACCTATGAAATGTCACTTGACGCCATCAACGAAATGTCTTAGTTTGCCAAACTTAATGATTATGAAGCAGAATGTTCAATATCCACATAGAATACAAGTGTAAAAGATGGTACATAAAAATCTTAGTGATTGTAATAAATAAAAAACTTATATAGATACTTTCAATTCTTTATTTTTATTTTTTTAATAAATTATATTAAGAGGAATAGTACATTTTTAATAAAAAATTAGTGCAGGATATTTAATGGAAGAGATATGACAACATAGAAAAATGAACTATTGAAAAGATGTTGCGGACAAATTTAATGTAAACAAGGCTAATCTATTCTATACAATATCTTTGTTCCCCTGTTCTCTCTAGGCTAAACCCCTCATATTTACATTTAAGACATTTATTAATATATTTGATGGATTTAAATGCTAATGCTATTTATTATTATTTTTTTTTAAATTTCAGTGGGTTGTACAATCATATTAGGAGTTACCATAGTTATTCCAATTTGTATGATAGTCATGGGATCCATTTATTTACACGATTGTCCTCAAGGAGAATACATTCCAGTTTACCTGCTAGTAGGAGGTAAGTATTCCTTTTATAAATTCATAAAAGTTGATCAACCGGTTGCAAGAAAGTTAAATTACAAAGGATATTGGACACCAATGCTTTTTAAATGGAACACGTGAAAACTGTGGACAGTAGAGTCAAAGAGTATAGTTAACACAAGAGATCGCACTGAAATGTCAATCGATCTGAAAGTCTGTGACCTTGAAAATTTAAAATATTTTACGCGGGTAAATGTACCTAATCTAATATAACCTAGCTTTCTGATCATTTCTCCTTTTGCTTCAAACATTTATTTATAATCTAATTTTGTTATAGATCTGTATTTTTTCAATACAAATTACATCATGAAGGTTTATGCAGTGAAAAACTGCAAAAAATACTAATCAATTTTCTAAATGTAATTTTTCTCATGTGACAGCAACCAACGCGGGGCCAGACTTGTCAAAAATACTCCAGACCAATAAGGAGGAGGCATCGACGTCAATATTATTTTAAAAACCAAAAAAACATAAATTTTGTAATAACGACACTAATTTTGTCTTCAAGTGGCTTAAAATCTGAATATTTTTTACTTTTCGATATCATTTTTCTCCATGTGACAGCAACCAACGTGCTGATTGGTGACCCAGACTTGTCAAAAATACCCCAGACCAATAGGGAAGAGGTGCCGAGGTCATTGAGATTTGAGCCAGAATTTAACATGGGAAATATAGGGAGTGACAGGCCTGTGGTAGAGTGCTGGTGTGGACATTTAAGTAAAGATGGGACAGATATTGATAATAATTCAAATGGGGAAAAGTTATTTGTAATAGGGTAAACTCAACATTGGACAATGGGTTAGGAGAGCATACGAGAAGTTCCCTTTGATTCATCGATTAATCTCTCCTTATTAAATCGCTTTAGAACTTTTTCTTTAATGCATGTAATTTCATCATACTCTCTGTTTAAATCTGACCAAAATAATAGCTGAGATACAGACTTAAACCCTTTTGACTTTGCTACTGCGCAGAATTTTTCAATTCAACGTTATTCTATGCCCTGTTCTCTACATAATGTCGTTTTCCTCGTAGTCCAGTAACTGAAGACCTGAAAATATGCAAAGCTGTCATTAAGTCGGTCCAGATTTCCTTTGTGGCTCAATTCTTAGGTCTTGACGGTTGCTTTCAAGGGCGAAAACTTTTACCAACACTGCTGGGTCGGAAAGGGCTCAAAATGGCCCCTGAAGTCCGAAAAAATGGTTTCTCGCTAATAACAGCCAAAATATACAAATTAGACAATTTTTGTTTAGATAAAAAATGAAGATCGTATCATTATCTACAAAAATGGCCCCTACCATTTTTTTCGCAAGACGAATTTGCTAAAACGGCCTTCGAAAAGGCCCGAATATTTGCACTGAATAGAAATGTTAGTTTCTCACTGAATTTCCGCTCGAGGGAGTTGGGAATACATTGATTTTTATGTTTTGGACTTTGGAGACCAATTGTAGAGGGCGCAAGCGGCGTACCTCTGCTCACTAAATTATGGGGCCTATGAATGGAAATCCGGGCAACAATCGATCTTTTGACAATTATTGGCGGATTCTACGGGATTTTTTCTGTAAAGTAGCGCTTGGAGTATCTCATCTATATTGCCGAATGTTCTGTGTAATTTGCGTTGCAAAATTTAATAGAAAAGTGCAAAAAAAAATTTTTTCATGTGGCAGTCTCAAATCCCGGCGCTTTGCCTAATAGTGGGTTACTAGTTTTAGAGTGTGATGAATATTGAGCCGAGAAGACACTTTATATTTTCTGCGTCTTTTGCAAAAATTTTCGCCAACTTCTATCGGAACAATATAGGTTCAGGATTTCAGAAAAATAAGAAAGTTTCTGAAAAATTTCTTTTATTGTGAAAAACATGTTGAAAATACGAAATACATAGCAATGCTTATAATTTATCATACGTTAAACCATTCAATGTCATCAGACTCATACTCTTCATCGTCTTGCTCTTGCTCTATTCCTTCCCCTCCTCCACGCGTCCCTTCCCTCTGTTTTTCCAACACATGTGTTGCTGTCTCGACAGCTATTTTATCCTCCCCTTCAACCCCTTCTGGGTCTCGATCCATCTCTAATTCTTCCGGGAAAATACCTTCATTTTTGTTATAATTAAAACACTGTGTCGACTGACACGAACCACAGACAGGCGAGCATTTCAGTCCGGCTTTCAAACATGAACAATTCTTCTCGCAGCCTGTCTTGCACTGACAAAAAATCATCTTCAAGAGTTCCGGGGGGGGGGGGGGGGCGGATCCCTTTTACACTTAATTTCATTAATTTTTCTGGTAATTTACACTCACTCAGTAAAGCAAATCTTCTAGAAGTGTCGCTAAAAGCTCTATATTTAAAGCGCTTTCTATTTTATGTTTGTTTTAACCTAAAAAAAAGGAATAACTGTAGAAATAATTATGATAGATACAGCAACAAAACACTTACCTCAACCCCAAATCTTCGATATATATTCCACTTTAACTCATTTGTGTTAAATATAGAAAAGAAAAATAATCATTGTTTATTATTGTACTACTCGAACCCAGAATTGTGAATTTTCTTTAAATATACGAAAGAAATATATGACAACCGACAATAACGACTCCAAAAACAACAGAGGTTGTATACCAACAAAAGCAGACGATTAAGGTGATCGTGTGGCGCGTGGGTACACGTGGTTAGGTTATGATGGAATATCATGGATCTCAGGCGGAGAGAGTAAAAATAAAGGAGATAATTCTAACAAACAGTTAAGAACCACGCTGACATACGGGGATCAATTGATAGAAATGGAAAGGTGAGAATATCAGCTTCACTTCGGTCTGGGTATTAATGTTCAAAAAATGAACAGCGGGGAACAAGAAGTATTTAAAAAAAAAGTCCGGTTTTCCCCGGTGTGATCAATTTTCCCGATTTCTGGAAAATGGAGCAACTTTATAAAAAAAAATACATTCGAAAAGTAGACACTCGAAGCTTTAAAATGGTGTGCATTGAATAACAATATAATGAAATATGAGTTTTTAATTACTGCTTGTTTCAAAGATTTCTAGAAGTCCGAAAACGTATGAAAAATGCAAATAAACAAATCAATTTTGTTTTAAAACGCCAGGAAGATACTGGAAAAAAATTTCTGAGATCATTCGAGACATCTCAAGATCCCATTTAAAACAAAAATGGGATAAAAAACTATTAAAAGAAAAAAAATATGAATGAATTACTATAAAGTGGTCCAAAATAGTAGAAAAACGCAACTTTGACCCCTTTTTCAATGTTCTTGACAGGAAATAACGGGCTTCAAGGCACATGGATCGATACCTATGGGTTTTCCCATTGTAATGAACTTTGAATCATCGAAAAATATCAATTTTTGACCGAGTTCTGAAACAATTTGTCCACCCGTTTACAAGCTAATCAGCATTGCTATACAGGGTTGGGCATAATTGGCGGAACACCCGATTTGTGGCTCAATTATGGATTGTATTGAAAATTAACCCAAATAAAGTTTTTTGTATATTTTATGTACTATTTAATGACGCTTGGGGATTTTCATTATCTGTCATATTTATCAAGATATGACGTCATCGGATGAAATTTTAAATGAATCACCCTATATTTATATTTTTTTTCAGATAGATCTTTTCTTTCTGAATCCATCAATATGGGGTTCGGGTGGTCTCTGATTTTCCTTATCATCAGAAAATAATAAAACAAAATGGTAAACGTTCTTTTAAATAATTAATGAATAACTATTCACAAAGTTGTCTGTGCCATCATAATGTACCAATATCAATTGTTTTGCCATGGTATCACTTTTTGACATTAAAATGTAATATTGACATCTCGATATTAATCACTGAGTTTTATTAATACGATTATTGTACATCTCTGACAGAAATACCTACCAATGTTTTTGTGTTACTGTTTACTTGGTTTTTATAATATTATAAAAACTATTGTCACCTTTTATTAATCTGTAGATTTTAATTCATTCTGGTTTATGGAGACAATCAAACAAGTTGAGTTTAATTGCAAGTCAATTCATTTCACCCAAACTAGCCCAATACGCGAAAATAAATAACTCTTAGCATTTGATACTATTGAGAATTTTTATTAATTTAAACCATGGTTGAACTGAGTGAACGTGAAAGAATTACACTATTGATGATTATTGGGTTTGGAGACAGAAAGAGATCTCTGCAAGAAGCTTGTAATTTGTTCAATGAAACATTTCCTGACAGGATTTCCCCGATTTCTAAATCTACAGTATCCAGAAATTTGAGCAAGTTTAATGAAACAGGAAGTGTGAAAAATAATCCCAGATCTGGACGGAAGAAGACAGCCACTGATGAAGAAAATGCACTTAATGTGGTTCTAAGTGTACAGGAAGAACCAAAAACTTCAGTTCCAAAGCTTGCGTTAGACAATAATATGAGCGAGAGATCTGTAAGGAGGATTCTGAAAGTCAATAAATTTCATCCCTATAAAGTGCAATTACACCAGGAATTGAATGAAGATGACCCAGATAGGCGAATGCAATTCTGCCAGGTAATGATGGATGCCATTAATGGAAATAATATGTTGATGAACAGCATTGTTTTTTCCGACGAATCAACATTTTGTCTCAATGGATTTGTAAATAAACATAATTGCCGGTATTGGTCTGATCATAATCCTCACTGGATGGAAGAAGGTCACACCCAATATCCACAAAAGTTAAATGTTTGGGCTGGTATAGTTAGAGGAAGAATTATTGGACCATTCTTCATGAGAGGAACTCTGAACGGTGATCGTTATTTGCAACTACTTCAAGAGCAGATAGTTCCAGAGTTAGTTCGTTTATATCCAAATCACAGAAATCACTTACAACTTTCTGATGAAATTTGGTTCCAGCAAGATGGTGCTCCACCTCATTTCGATGCTAGAGTGAGGCAGTACCTGAACACAATATTTCCACAGAGATGGGTGGGTCGAAGAGGACATATTGAGTGGCCGGCACGGTCACCGGATTTAACCCCACTGGATTTTTTTCTTTGGGGCCATTTGAAATCAGTAGTTTATAAGGACCTGCCACATTCGCTGGAAGAATTGGAATACAAAATAAGAATTGCTGTTCAAGAAATAACACCTGAAGTTTATCAAAATGCCTTAAGATCATTTGTTGATAGACTAGGATATTGTCAGGCAGTTGGAGGCTTTCACTTCGAACACTTACTTTGAGAGATTTGTAATACTTCGATTGATAATAATTATTATTTTTTATTAAATAAATGTTTACTTTCTATTTTGTTATGAACTCGGAGGAGACCCTCAAACCTTACATTAATGGATTCAGAAAGAAAAGATCTATCTGAAAAAAAATATAAATATAGGGTGATTCATTTAAAATTTCATCCGATGACGTCATATCTTGATAAATATGACAGATAATGAAAATCCCCAAGCGTCATTAAATAGTACATAAAATATACAAAAAACTTTATTTGGGTTAATTTTCAATACAATCCATAATTGAGCCACAAATCGGGTGTTCCGCCAATTATGCCCAACCCTGTAGAGATAAAGCAGGGGCTGAACGAGGGACTTTTGATTGCGGTTATCTCGAAGCCTGTCGAATTCCCGACAAAAATGATAGGGACCATTTTTGTAGATAATGATAAGATCTTTCTTTTTTATCTAAACAAAAATTCTCTAATTTGCATATTGTGGAAGATATTGGCGGGAAGTCAGTTTTAGGGTCCATTTTGGGCTCTTTCCGACGCAGCAGAGTTGGTAAAAGTTTTCGACCTTGGAAGCGACTGCCGAGACCTAAGAGTTGAGCCACAACGGAAATCTGGACTGACTTAATGACAGGTTTGTCCCTTCAGTTACTGGACTATAACCAATAAGTCCTATCTAAAATTACTTTCTTAATATCTAAAATTTGTAATATCTGATTCCCCCAGTATGTCGACTGTTACTATCAGCTCTACATATTATACAACTGTTAATATTTATTTCATTATTATATTATTACTTTTATAAATTCATAAAAGATGATCAACCGGTTGCAAGAAAGTTTATTAAAAGTTATGAGCTCAATAAAGTTTGACGGAATTTGAGAATGTGATATGTTTATATTGACAAATTATTAAAAAAATTAAAATGCTTAAAATTTTTATACGATTATAAATATTGTTAACATTAGTATTCCTAAGATAAATGTATTCTTCTTTAAAATTAGTTAATCTTTGACAGGAATATTTGGTGTAGTAAAACAACTATTACATTTATCAGCGAGAGTAAGACAAACAGAAGAAGAAAGACAAGAAGAAAATTTACGGCAGTCTCCTACACAGACTTTATTAAATTGTTTCATGCTGGGATGGTTCATAATAGGTAAGTGCTTTTATTTAAATCTACAAGGTGTCCCCTGAAGGACTGAAACTTTTAGAGAAAATTTTATTCTCCATAAAAGTTTTTGCTTGTTTCAAATATAATAATCATAATTGAGACTAGTTGAATAGAATATCTCTTTGCTTCAGTAAAATAATGACAAGAAAAATTTGTTGAGGAAGCAAATGTAGCCCAAAGTTCGAATTAAACGATTTGACACAAAATAAACAGGAATATTTTAAAATAAGATTAATTTATTCTTGAACAGTGTCTATAGATAACATTATAGGTGCTAATGATAAAAAAATATTGTTTCAGGTTCTGTGTGGGTTTATAAAGAATATCAACCAAACTACGATCCGAGCCTTGGAAAACACTGTAATAAAAATTTGTATTTATTCGCTTTTTGGCTTATTACTTCCGTCTATATTCTATTAGGAATGATAACCGTATGTTTATGTTCGATAAGTTTAGCCACTGTTGTTTTTCATACGGAACAACTAGGCGAAAATGATGTTAACGGTAGGCTATGGTAGAGATCGAGAAGAAAACACAATATTATTTATTTTTTAGAACCAATGGACCATATTACTCATTAAATACCATCTTCATTTTAAGGACCAGGTATCGTTCGTGTCATTATAATAACCAACAAAGTTAGTCCCATTATCTGACATAATTTGCGTAGGTAGGTGTTCTTACCTTCAGTTTAAGGTGGGAGTTTAATTACATTTAATTTTAATTCCAAATGAATTTGAAAACTATAAAAGATGAAGACCTAAGATTTGGTAGACATTTTTTAAATAACTCTAATATCAATAATGCAACTTTAAAACCAATAAAAATAAAAGTTTATACAGTTCATCAAATTTCTAGAGGTGTTCGACGCCCAGACAGAGAACGCGCTACGTGTGACTAAGATAGCTATTGTACAGTCTGCTAAACAAGTTATTTTAAATAGTTTTTAATATTTTTAGGTAATTAAATTTTAAAAGTGTGGAATAGTTTAGGGATTAAATTGGTCTGATTGGACTTTCTTAGAACGTTTTTAAAAGCAGCTAAAGATAGTATGTACAATTGAAAATAATTATTATGCCATAAAAGGTGTTTTGGAATTCCTTCAACCTTTTGAAATTGAGTCAGAAAATATAAATTTTATAGGATAGCGGAAAATACCTATAATTTTTTTGTATGCTTTTGTAAATCGTGGAAATAGTTTATATTTTATTTCTACCTTATTAAGGAAAATGGTACCTATTATTAATAACGGTTGTTTCTGAAACATTACTAAAATTTTCTAAATTTTGTTTTTCTACAAAATAATAAACTATACTATTTAGAAAAAAATTTATTTCTCTTATAATTTTATAAAAAATAACAGGAGAATATTTACATTTCTTGATCTATTAAACAAAACGATAAATTATCTCGACGAATGACACCATGTTCTAGTACGGAAGCTAGCTTTACATTTTTGTTGGTGGTTTCATGGGTTTCATATAAATTTTTTGTAATTGTAGTTTACACGTTTACCTCTTAACACTTGTTTGCTTTATTAAAAAAGTGTGTTGTTGTGATTTACGTCGAAATAAGTCAAAAACAACTTGAAACCCCATATAAAATCAAAAAGGAGAAACGGAAAAAAATTGAGCCTGTAAATGAACACAACTCAGAAACAAAAATAGATATCTAATAATAAAAAAATAAAATTTGATTCTTGTGCAGCTTCATCTATATCATTAACTGTTTTTGGTTTTTTAATGGTTTTTCTTGGTGATGAAAATTCCGATATCTCACGGTTATCGATTCTTTTTTTCTCTCCAGAAATGCGGACGACAGTGTTTTTAGATACTCCTGTGGCTGCAGCAACACGATCATTTACATTTTTAAATGGTATGAATTAAAGTTTCCTTCTCTTCTCATAAACTCTATAACATTGGCTATTATTTCGCGAGATTGACTGTTAATCACGCGGCCTCTTAATTTGCTATTAAACTCCATACTTAGGTTCTATTAAACTGTAATGAGCAAAAAACACAAACGAAAATAAAAGAAATGTTTTAGCGAAATTTAGATCTGACATTTACATGAAATAGTGAAATACTTGATGCGCAGAGTGTACTTTCATTGCGTAAATCCGTCGGGATGCCTGTCAGTAGTGCTTTCTCTGGCTAGCCGTCGAAAGCCTCTAGAAATTTGATGAACTGTACAATTATAAAAAAATAAAATATAATTTTTTTACGGAGACAAGTAAATAATCTATTAAAAATTAATAACAATTACGTTGAAACCAATTCTCAAATTGATGTAATGACGAAAAAAATTGAAAAATAAAATACAAGCCAAAATTTCAAATAATATACGCGGTAATACCATTGTCAACCTTTATCAATGATTTTTGTTCACGCATTCGTTTATAGAGCCGGTCAACTTGTTCCCATCAAGGATTTCAAACATTCCATTCGGAATATAGTTTTGATCATTTTTTAGAAAAGGTTTAAGCTTAACATAAATTTAACTTAACATGTACATAGGTATTTTTTTCTTTTACAATTCATTGACAAATTTGAATACAAGATACATTGTGAACATCAGACAAATGTGAATATAAAACTAAGAAAAACTAGAATAAAATATAAAAAATGATTACACCGAGAGCTGAATCCACACGACTTCTGGTTTGAAATGTCAAAGCCTTATTCACAAACCACATTCGCTAGATACACTTGTTTGCGAGTCAGTATAATAACGATGCAAAAGCCAAAGCAGAACGGGTTTAGTGGTTGGTTTCCAAGATATGTAACGGTTCTCAGTTGTGATTTGGTTACTTTTCAACTCCCGCTCAATGACATATATAGATTAATAGACTGCTCATCCATATATAAACAAGACGACGAAAAGCGGGTTATATTGCTTGGCTTGCCGAGTGCTCACCAGGCAGAATCGGTCTGGCCCAAATGAGTTTAAAACTCATATTTCATCAAAGTAGGAATTAAATTAAAAAAAAAATTATCTGTATGTTTATTTCAAGACAAGCTACCGTTAGGTATTTTAAAAAGGGATTTTGAACATAGATATAAACAATTTTACACTCATGTGTATATAACTAACTTTAGACCACGACCACTGTATAGTGGCACTATTCGGACAATTGATTATTCTTTTAAAATTTATTTCGCATTATAAAAGTAGATATGCAAAAATTGAATGAAATTTTTAAAGATTTTACTAAAAGTAGCTTTTTCACATTCTAGAGTTTGTTCCCTTTAGACAATTAAGGATTATTTTGGCGGTGAACGATTTGATGAATAATAATAAGATTCCACCAGTGGAAATCTGATCAACATCATAGTAAAATGGACTAGGTACAAAGTGCAATCTTAGTTGACGTCAAGATCTGTGTACCTTAGCATCGGTAAGGGGGAAAGAAAGATTCTGACTTACAATCACAAAAAGAACTTACAACTAAGCTTAGTGGATGTAAGTTAGCTCAGATTAGTGGTAAAAAGAAAGCGACTATTAATAAAAAGAAAAGTAATCCAGCTAAAACAAGAATTATGGCTACTGTCTTTAATAGTGATATGTTGCCAGTACTAGTAGAATGTTAAGTGTTGAGTTATCTTCTTCAGGCAATGGATGTACGTATGCATAATTTAAAATGTTTGGTTAATTATTATTATGTTTAATGTGTTTTTGCAATTAATGAACATATATCTACACCTGAAGCAGATAATGAAGATTTGTGAGCTGCTGAAGAGCTTTGCTTAATTTACAAAACTTTGTTTAAAAGCAGAAAAAGGGTGGTGATTTAGTTGATCCGTTTTCAAACAGAATTGTTAGTGCTAAAGAACTATCTACTTCAATAGGATTGCAATCCTTCCAGTTATTAGCCAACATTGTGGAATTAGTGGCAGTTATGTCTGTAAAGGATCAAGTTATATTTACTTTTATGAAGTTGAAAACTGATATGCAAGATATAATGTCTTATCCATTTTATTTGGAATGAAACTTTTTATCGTTAATTTTTTTAACAGTTCTTAGTATGGTATAATTCGGCCTTCAAAACAAGAAATATTAAATAATGTGCCTCTATGTAAGTAAGAGTACTACTTGATTGTACCGAAATCCCAATACAGCAAGCCAAATGTCTTTGTTGTAGGCTAAAAAATTACTCTGACTACAAAAAGATGCATACTATTTTAATATTGACTGGAGTGTCACCTACTGGTCTCATTACTTACAAAAGTGAAGCATATGGTGGTAGAACTTCAGAAATAGACATTTTTTAACAAAGTTCAATACTTGATGTGTGTGAATCATTTCTCGATAGTAAAATGTTTAACAAAGGTTTTCTTATTGGAAACATAACAGAAGCTGAAGGTATACAAATTATACAGCCTCCTTTCCTCAATAAAAAAAATCAGTTCAGCCATCAAGAGGCTTTACTTAATGCCAAAATTACCGGAGCTAGAATTCACATAGAAAGAACCTATCAAAGAATAAAAATGTTTGTCTCTCTGTATTGGTACTTATGTCCGTTTTTCTTCTATTTATATTGAGTTTTTATTATATGATACTTCTCTGTATCTAACTAACTTTTAAATATATATAATAATATTTATGTAATTGTATTTACAATAAATACTTTATTATTAATATTATTATTATAATTAATTATAATTCATAAAATTATTATAAACGTATTTACCTTGTACCTACTTGTATTGATACTTGCGTGAAAAATTAAATGTTACTTTTTATATTTCTGTAGCTGGTCTTACAACCCTTTATAGAGCAATTCACCATTTAAATTTAAAAACAAAACAAGTTTTTATACTCAAATAATTAAAAAACTTAAAACAGAACATAAGTATAATTAAAACTAAATAAAATAAACAATTCAACAAAATGTCCGACTGAGTAATGACAATGAGAACAAAATCTCAACTAGACTAAACTTTCTTTAAAACCGGTCCTGTGAAAGGTTTGTTTACCAGTGAGCACTCAAAATTGAGACAAAACACAAACATTGCATGCACTATAGAGGTGTGTCGTTCGCGAACGATTCGTTCAAAAAGAACGAATCAGTGCACTGACTCGAATGAATTGATTCCCTGTTTTTAAAAGATTCAAATCTTTTTTGAGTCAATTGCTCGATGGCTCTGCGATCGATCAAACATGCCGAGTTCCGAGTTTGGTTGCTTCGTTCATTCGATTCGGATTCGAAGATTTGGTATTTTACATCGGCATCGGCAAATTGATGGCTTACGTTCTACGGCATAATACGAGAACTCTGACAGGCGATAATAATAATAATAATAATAATAATACTCTCCCTAATTCACCCCCTTACGAGTGAATTTTAACCCCAAAAGCTGAGCTTGTCCGGGGAAAGGGACGGCTATTATTATTATTATTATTATTATTTGCCGTGGCGCTCCGGGGCGACTTAAAGATGATTGATGGTGCCATTTGACTTACAGGTGAGGAAAACCCGGAAAAACCTCACCCACCATCATAAATGGCGGTATGTGTC